ATGGTTCATGGGGTCACGAAGAGTCGGACACGACTTAACGACTGAACAACAACAACATGCAGAAGTGCAATAGGACACCTGAAATAAGCTGGAGAGAATAGCTTACTTAAGTCTCTCCCAACTATGCCAAATAAAATATGTCCTTGAAATACCCAGTATGGATAATCACATACATTTGAATGCCTATAATAGGCTGATTTTTAAACTGGATGAAGTAGAGAGGAAGTTGTTACTAGCCCCAAGATCCTTCTGGAAACATGTATTCTTTCCTGCCTTGTCCTCCACCACCAACATTTAGGCTTTCTCAGCAGCCACAAACAATAAACACACTTTACTACTATATATACTTACCAAATGTTACTGTGTTCAAACGTCCCAATGTGATTTTCTATATAAAATCAAAGAATATGTTTAAACTTTTTTTTAATAAAAAGAGTTATCAAAGTGTTACTGTACAAGAAATCCAAACACATAATATCTGGAAATCAACTTATAAGAAGGGTGAACATATCTTCCAGAAAAGTATTTGCAAGTAACCATTGAACTAACTTGAGAATCAAGATTCTGGATTAATAAAAAATCTTTTTCTTTTCTTTCAGCTATTCTAAGCAAAATACTACATATTGATTTTTAACTGCTTTAATTCTTGAGTATTCATTCTAAATTGCTTCAAAAATTTTAAAGTAGCATACAAACATTTTAAACATTTGCTAGGAATTATGTGGCTCTCCAGAATCTTCCAAGCATTTGTTTAGATTTTGTAAGAAACAAGTTCACTTAATGTTCAGTTTCCACAGAGCCTGAAAAACAGATTCAGTCCTGTCTCTTCATTGTACAGAAGTCTACAGCGCTATCTTCCATTATTTAGCCAATCTGGATTGTGTTCATTCTTACTAAAATAGCACTGTGAAAAGAGATGGATTTTCATTTCATTTCTTGCCTCTAGAAAAGAGTTGTCAATCACAATAGGTGATATTTTGGGACAACTAGAGCAAAGTCACCTGCCTTAGGGATGAAAGATGGCTGGGTGGCTCTGGGCCAATCATGCTCTCTCTGCCCAACCCACCTCACAGGTTTGTTGTTGTGGGGGAAAAGGAGGAGGAAGGAGGATTATGTATGTTGAGTTATTTATAAAAAAAAAGTTGGGATAAAAATCTAATAAAAATAAAATAACTGCTACCATTATACCAGCCTTTCCAATTTGGTGGTAGCTAAATGTTTTGGATTATAACTCATAATCTCCAGTGACTTGTTGGCTGGCAATTCCAGAAACTGGAATCCAACACATTTCTAGGGCATAAGGTTGGAGAAGGCTACATGATCCAATGAAGACCCTTTGACTGGAAAAGCAGTTTCAAGTTCAGTAAAATTTCTCAGTACCAAGAGCAGTCCAATACCATATTTCTTCACCTCACTATTTTATCAAGACAACTTATTTGAAAAATTAAAATGGCCTCTAATAAGCCAATTACTAAAATATTAAAATGAAAGCCATTTTGTTTCCCCAAAAGATTCAACCCTGTTTCATAAAACACAACTTAGCAGAAATGAATAATTTGCCCTCCTTAGAAATCAACTAAACAATTCAAAGAACCATTTCAAAATCCCTCATCGTTCTCACAAGGGAAAGCAGTGTTTCCAAAGAGGTTGAGAGAATTCCTTACTTTAATACTGCATCTCTTAGTGGGTTTGACATGCAACACCATAGCTGATAATTATTCGAACTTTATGATAAAGGACAGTGGGGTGGGTGTTGCGCAACCACACGGAGCCCCAGACTACTTTTAAAGAAGAGATTCCCACCCCTTTCAAACATCCATTTCAAGGCTTAATTTAGAACTGAGACATTTTATTCTCCTGGAAGAGTCTTTGAAACCACACACTTCCGACACAAACTGACCTGCATATTACATAACCTTTAATGAAGTGGTCTAGCCAATCAGCAATAACACTTCGGAGTTGTAGAGCAAAAGCAGGAATATTACTTACACGGGTGTCCGTTGATATAAAATGCCAAACGAAGGCGCAAGATTAATTTTCAGGGCCCCAACGCGTTAGTCTGCAGGCCTGTTTGCTACCCACCCCTGTTTTCCACCGAGAGTATTCGTCATTGGCCCCACCGGGACCCAACCTGAAAACATCTTCAGGAACAGGAGCGTAAACAGCAGCCCGAGGCGCGAGCCTCCCCGCTGCCAAGGGCTCCCAACGGGGACGCAGCAGACACAAAGAAGGGCCGATGGATGGCACGCAGCAGCAGCAGTAGTGACGTGGCAGCGGAGGCAGGCCCAGGACCCGGAGCCTGGCCTCCTTTCCCCACCTCCTCGCGGGCTCTTCCACGTTGAACAAAAAGTCTAAATATCCGCTGCCAGAACACACTGGCCGCTTCTGCGTTTTCTCCTGCGCAGCCTATCTCCCCCTTCCTCTGCATCTGAGAAACCGTACCTTGCTTTCTCCCGGGGGAGGAAACCTCTAGACGCTGCATGACTTTCCCCTCTCTCGCCTCGCCTCCCAATCAAGGCAGCAGCCAGCGCTGCAGAAGCAGGCTCTGCAGGGAGGGCTGGAGGATATTTAAACAGTCAAGGGCTATCGACAACGCCATTACTGGGAGCTGCTCCCGCAGCCCGCGGTTCGGCCTTTTCGATTCCCGCTGGAAGGCGGCAATCCTGAGCCGTTGCACCCGGGGGAATATTCGCTCGGAACGCAGCAAGGCTGCCTTCGGAAACCGCGGGGGCCCAGCGCTGCTCGGGGAACCTTTCGGAAGGAGGGGGGAAGAACCACAGCTCCTCCCCCGAGACTTCCCTACGCCTTCCTTTTCCGAACAGCTCCCGACCCGGTCCCCTGTCCTCGCTATCCTTCTCACGTCCCCCAGTTACGGGCTTGCACGCTGCAAAGCACGCTCGCGCGGAGTACCTTCCTTCCCCATTCAGAACCGCTCTCGGGCGAATTTTGCACTCTGCGCCCCATCCCCGAGGGCGCAAAGGTCCCGTCCCGTCCCGTCCCCGGCTTCGCAGCACCAGCAGGCAAGAGACCCCCGACCTCTACGAGCCGCGGAGGGGGCAGGCGACGGGCCCCCACCGTCTCTTCTTCCACCCCGGAGGAAAAGGGGTGGAGAAGATGCCCGAGTCAACTCCACCCCACAATTTCTGCGCGGGGCGCAGAGGAGGACGGGGACCAACAGGCCGCCTTTCCGCGCTCACCTCGCTGGAATGCCCGCGCCACTCGGCTCAGCCCGGCGGACGACTCCGCCAACCGCGCCCGAAGCAGGACTCCGACCCCTTTG